CTTAGCCAAAAGGCCACAGAGAGCCACTCTATGAGGTTAAAAAAGAGAAAACTATAGGGAGCTGCATCGGTATAAATAACGGCAGCAACGAGCAGGAAACTGTACCAGAAGAAGTTGGCCTGTCGTCAATTGCACGTTAACCTCTTAGCCATCGGCCCACATTAAAAGAAAAAACAAAAAAAAAACAAAAAAAAAACAAAAAAAAACGAGCGACTCTCTGTGCTAGCTGGTAATCAGTGTATGCTGTAAGATCTATAAGCTGAGGCAGAAGGGGGAGAGATCGAGATTCTTAAGGAGTTCTCGGATGGCGGCATTCCTGGTCGGATGCAAATGTGGACTGTTTGACGAGACGATTGAAGAAGCGTTACAAAAAGAAAAAGACGAAGACGAGAGACGGGTTTCAAAACTGTTGCGGCGTTTTTTGGCGGGGATCCAAAACCCCAAACCACGAAATATACCCAAACACCGAAATATAACCCCCAACCCCGAAACCTAAAACGCAACCTGCGAAATCTCAACCCCAAACACTCAACAGCAAGCCCTAAACCCTAAACCCTAAACCCTAAATCCTAATCCGTAAACCCCAAACCCTAAACCCCAAATAACCCCCTGAATTCTTTAAGCCCCAAACCCTAAACCCTAAATTCTTCAAAACCAATGATGTCATAAAATATTCAGCTGCGTACCTTGGTGGCTGAATCGTGCACACTCTAGACCAATGAAGATTCGGCCATGAGCTCACATCCTTTTGCGTAAGGCACAAGTCGACAACAGGATACCCGCTTTCTTTCCTGAAAAGGAAATTATGATATGCGGTTGATGTAGGAATGATGCCTGAATGCGGGAATGAGTGACTTGTGGGGTAGGTGTAGTTTCCAGAGAACGAAAGGAGATCCACAAGTGGTGAGATCGGTCCCCCTATCCTGCACTACGGTCTTCACTCGAATTGAATGTGTGGTCATTACCTAGCTGTATTTGGGGCAACTTTCAGTCCAGTTGCAGCGATAATGACCGTGCATTCTGTCCGGGCGAAGATGGTAGTCTTGCCCACAGTTTCCCTGTCATAAGTGGTCACCTCACCCTCACTCTCCCATTGGCTACTATCCTCCAGCATTACCTCCCTTAAGATAGGCTATGGTGGCAGCTAATCATAGACGATCTCAAGGGCAAGCAATAGCAGCAGCAGTGGGATTCCAGAGCAGCCTTCACACTTGTACTGCCTTGTTGCGACAGTACAGCCATATCACAAGAAATATAGGCACATGCCACAAGGCCTAAAACCTATGGTCCACTTGTCCAGAGGTGATGTCAGAAGAGGCCACAAACCTTCCACTTTCTGCGCATCATCTGTTGTCTTCTCTCTCCCTTTCTCTCCATCTCCTTCTCTCTCCCTCTCCCTCCCTCCCTCCCTCCCTCCCTCCCTCCCTCCCT